AAGCTTGCAAAACTTTGCTTGTAAAAAAAAGGTTTATATCGTGTTTGGAATTAATATTATAGGTAATAATACATTTCCTCAATATCATTTCTTAATTTTACTACTTTAGCTTTAAGGTAGCATTCTCTTTATCACTCTGCTCTAGTTTCTTAATTCTAGTCTTATATACAGCTTCACATTTAGTATTTTCTTCTATAATATGTTTTAATTCTGCAATTCTGGTCATCAATAAATCAACTTCGGATAATTCTTTAGATTCATCCTTTGTATTTGCATATTTAATACTGATTTATATGACTTTATTAGAAATGTTTAGAAAAAAATATTGTACATGTTTTGAAAAATGTTTTTATTAGTTAATACTTTTAATTTAACAACATCCTAACCAATGGTCAGGAACCTGTCAATCACTTTTACCAAAAAAAATACTCATATACAGATTAATATACATTGATAATAATACAATAAAATAAATATACGAAATATACACACAAAAGTAAACTGATTATTTGTGCGAAATTGAGCCACCAGGAACGGCTTTATTGTCACGAAAAAAATAAAATATCACAACATGAACTATAATCTATCCATTTCAAAATACTCTATAAAACTTTCGCAATAAAATCCAAAATACCGAATATTTTACTGAGTGTAATCTATGTACATTTTTATGTTAATGCACCTCCATATATATAATATCGAACATTAATTTGAACTTTGTATCATGTCTGGGTTCTATGTATAATCCATGTTGTGCGATAAATAAAGTATAAAAAGCTCTTATTGATTTACGATAATTCCATTCTAATATAATTTAGAATTTTTTTAGAGAATAAATAATAATAACTAACTCCATATTTAATAATTTCTTACCTGCAAAGTCAACAAAACATGTACAAATTCTTCTATCTCTTCAAGTGACTCATCGCAGAAGTAGATTTTTGCTTTGGAAATAGGCAAATAATACTTTATACTCTTTTTTTGTACTAACCCATAGAGTATAAATCTATTGCCTATATTTAATAAAAAAATTGATATTAATATTGATAGTATTTTAATTTAATAAGAAATTATGAAGAAATGTATTATTACCTATAATATTAATTCCAAACACGATATAAACCTTTTTTTTACAAGCAAAGTTTTGCAAGCTT